TTTTCTGTTTCTATGAATTTATACAGGGATGAATGTGTGTTATCCTTTCTGAATAAAAAGTTGAGTTTTCATCCCTACCAATATACCGGTTATATTTATTCTTGGAACTACCCTATATTATTTTAATTAGGTTCAATGTACAATGATAAGAAGGTAACCAAATAACTGTGTGGCCGTATTGTTTTTCAAGTTGATCTACTTTACATTTTTGGTAGTTTATTTCTGAAAACTGTTCAATAAATCTTGCGTTGTGTGTCGTCAGCCAATCCTAAATTTTATTGTATTGGAAACTATCCATCTTTAGGACTTAAAGACTAGTTAAAATGCCTGTAATGTTTTGCAATAAATATTTCTTCCTTTAATTATTTTTATTACATATTTAACTACTTTATTAGCAATTGATAATACATTGATTTAAAGCATCTAAGCCTTTTTCCAATCGTCTTACTTTCTGGGCACATATTTTCGTTCGTCTTCGAGTGACGGAAAAGAGTAATGAAAATGATGACTTAGAGTGTAATGCAAAGGTGCGGGCACTTTTAGTATCGTTATAGCATCTTCTCTTTTTTCTATCTCAATGGTCTGAATATTCTAAAACTCAAAAACGGATATATGGAAATGCACAAAATTTAAATTTTAAGCTTTGATCCATCCTGCGGTTAGCTGATTAAATTTTGGGCATAGTCTGAACATATAAAAAAAATTTTCAATTAAAACTTGCTTGTAATATTATTTTTTATAAATTTGTTATGTACATAATTTGACAAAATGTGCAAAATTCCAATTTTTAGGAAAATTGTTCGAATAAAAGTTGTTGCGATATCATTCACTATTATGATTTTTTTACATAATTTCTCTTAAATGGACCGGAATAAAAACTTTGGAGGAAAGGTGTACAATTTTAATTTTTCAGTATTTTCGTTTGCCATGAATATAAATAAAAAATGTTTCGAGTAAGATGTGTGTGTATGCAGAAAATGTATGTATTTAGTTAATAGTCTAACCATTTTCAGGGGTGATATAAAAGGTTCTACAAAGTAACCGAAAATAGTCTGTAATAACTAGACAGGAAAGTCATGTGTCGGACATTTTTAAATTATGTTTTGTCATGTAACGCAATCAAGTACTTATCATTATCATCATCACTCACTATCAAACAATAACATAAACAATTAGTCAATGGTCTCCGTATGTTCTACAAAGTGTCCCAAAATCACATTAAAGACAAATTATTGATTTCCAAATAAAAACGTTCGCCAAACAAGTTGACACCAACTAATGAAGCTTCCTGAACTTACAAGATTTCTATTTTGGAGACCTAGTACCAGTCAGGATGGAAATAAACATAGGCTACTCATTTTAACCTCTGCATACCTTCCCTATGACTCGCCCAGCCCTTCACCAACAGATAAGCTGAGGGATTTAGTAGATATCTGTCGGGCCGAAAACCTGTAGGTACTCATTTCTGCTGACAAAAATTCACACCATATAACTTGGGGCAGCAAGGACAACAATAAATGAGGTGAGTCTTTACTTGAATTCATTTTAACCGCTAACCTGGAAATATTGAATAGTGGAAATGAACCTACTTTTGTAACCAGTAGACGGAGCGAGGTTATTGATATTACCCTTGGTTCTTCCTTCGTTTTAAATCACATTGGCAAGTGAAACGTATATAGAGAGCCTTCGCTCTCAGATCATCGGCAGATTTTTATGGAAATCGACAACGTCGATAAACCAGGAGATGTATACCGAGACCCATATAAAACCGATTGGTTTGGATACGGAGTGGAGCTGGGGTAGTGTTAAAAACCGTTAAAGTAACTCTTAATATTAAAAACGATATAGAAGAAGTTGCAGAACAACTTTGGGACTCAATCATAACATCATATCACAATAACTGCTCGTTAAAGAACAGGAAAACTTCTAGGGAGGTTAGCTGGTGGAACAGTGAACTCGCCAAACTCAAAAGAAAAACACGTAAACTTTTTAATAAGGCTAAAAAGATGAATGAGTGTGAAGAATACACTGAATCACCCGCAGAGTATAACAAAACTGTTAGGAAATCTAAGAGGGATTTATGGAGAACATTCTGTTAGGATATTGAAAATAAAACTAAAGGATGCAGACTCCATCGTATTCTAGCAAAAGATCCAATAAACTCTGTTGGGACTTTAAAAACCCAAACAGGAGAATACACTAAAACTGGAATGGAAACATTATAACTACTTCTTAAAACTCATTTCCCTGACTGCGCAACAAACTCGAATGCAGCAAACCAAACCCACACGAACTGGAACTCTCAAAAAAGCGTCTCCAGCCAAGAGTGGGAAACTTCTAAACGGGTAGTCACAACAGAGAAAGTAACATGGGCAGTACGTACCTTAAATCCATACAAATGACTACGACCAGATGGGGTACTGCCTGTGCCTTTGCAACAGGCAATAGAAACGCTGACTCCGTATATTTGTAGGCTCTACAAGGCAAGTTTGGTGCATAAACATGTATCAAATACCTGGAAACAAAGCAGAGTTGTTTTTATACCTAAACCGGTGCGCCCAACGTATGATGTGGCAAAAGCCTATAGACCAATAACTCTGACACCATTTCTATTGAAAGGATTGAAAAAACTGATTGATCAGCATGTCCGGCAAACCACTTTGATATAGAGGCCATTTCATACAAACCAACATGCCTATCAATCACGAAAATCTTGTGAGTCTGCTCTGCATCATCTCGTAATCAAGATAGAGGGGGGACTCAGTAGCCAAGAAATAGTCCTAGGAGTATTTCTTGACATAGAAGGAACTTTTGATAATACCTCCTTTAAAACAATGGTAGCTGCCGCTCTCAAACATGGAATAGAAGACACTATCTGTTGATGGATAGAAGAAACCAAGCAGGTGAATATCCACAGGGGATATCCACAGGGTGGAGCCCTTTCTCATCTACTGTGGAACCTAGTGGCAGATGAACTGCTGAAAACACTGAACAATCAAGAGCTGTACGCCCAAGAATATGCCGATGACATAGTCAACGTTATCCGAGGAAAACAACAAACGACAGTCTTTGAACTCATGCAAAGAGCTCTTAGGCTGACAGAAATGTGGTGTGTTAGGGAAAGCCTCTTTGAAAACCCTGACAAGGCACAACTCAAAACCTTTACTCGGAAAACAAGGTTGGAGGTTTTAGAAACTCCGACTCTGTTTGGAGGAAGGCTAAACAAAACGAATTAAGTAAAATATCTGTGTCTAATCCTAGATAGCAAACTTACTTGGAACCAACCCTTACAAAAAAAGACCAACAAATATAAAATGTCTCTCATTGTAGGGAGACGGGCATTTGCACCAACATTAGGATCAAAATGAAAAATGGTCCGCTGGTTATATTTGGCAATAACAGGACCCATGATAACTAATGGAGCGGTTGTTTGGTGGCCAAAAGTAAACCAAAAAACAGCCCTTAATACCCTCTCAGGAGTTCAGAGGCTGGCATGTCTTTGTATTTCAGGAGCACTGAGAAGAACACTGACTGCCTCGATGGAAATCATTCCAGACCTCCCAACATTTGACCTAGTTTTAAAGGGGGAGGCCAGAATGAGTGCATACTGGCTGGAAATCTCCAACAACTAGAACCCACTGGGACATATAAAACATACCAGAATAACACATAAAATACCCTCCTAATTTTTAACAGACTTTTTCAGGTCAACTGCAACTGGAACGAGGTAAATAATAAGATAGTTAAATACTTGCTTAGCGGTCTCGTATGGTATACGGATGGATCTAAAACTATTAAAGGAATAGGCTCTGACGTACATAAAGTTAAACCTAAATGCGTCTCACTGGGAAAACATACCACTGTATTTCAAGCTGAAATACATGCAATCTAATTGTGTGTACGGGAGAATTTAAGAAAAAAGTACAAAAAACAAACCATCCTTATCCCTTCGGATAGCCAAGCAGCCTTAAATGGTCTTGATTCAAACAGAATCAAGTCAAAGCTTATCTGGAACTGCCTTGGAATACTAAGTGATCTGGCAACCACAACAAGGTATTATATAGCGTAAGTACTAGAAAACAAAGGTATCCAAGGAAATGAAAAGGCTGACTAACTTACCAAAGAGGGATCGGATCTACCATTCATAGGACATGAACCTGTATTTGGGATAAGCAAAACCTCTGCTCGATAGGCAGTGAATAGGTAGATAACCACAAAACACCAAATTCACTGGCAACAGATAAGAGGGCACATAATCAGTAAGCTCGTGCTAAGGGGACCAAACTCACGCATGGCTACTGAGGCACTACAACCCGCAAGGCCTCAGATATCCACCATTTTGGGATAACTAACAAGGCACTGCTTGCTTAAACACCTTCATGTGATAGGATTACACAATGATCCCACTACGTGTAGACTCTACATGGAAGAGGAAGAAACCTCATACCATGTGATCTTCGAATGTGAAGCTATCTCTAGGCGATGTTTTACCCTTTTTGGCCTATAACCAGAAAGAACGCCCCAGGAACACTTGGTAGGGAATTTATTAAAACTAATTAAAGACGCAGGACTATTCCAAAGATAGTACTTGAATACGGAGAAAGCAAGGGAATACAATAAAACCAAGAGGCCGCAGTGTTCTGGGCCAAACCCAACCTGCTTATAACCGATAAAGATAAAGATAAAAAATGCAGCTTCTAATAAATGGATATAAACCATTTTCTTTCACATACATTCAATAGTATAGGCTATTTGGTAATTACTAATTCATTAATTAGGTGCTATCTAGTCACTAATTAGTATTTAGTTGGTTTTAAGTTAAGTTCTAATTTTTATAGTAATTTATAGATTTAAATGATAAGTCTCTTTATTATTCTCATTTATAGAATATTAAAAAGTAAATTCCTTAATATCAATAATGATAGTTTTAAAATTATTTTAATACCCGACTCTGTATAATATTTACAAATAATTACACTTAAGATTAAAATCGAACCAAATTTATACTCACTTTCTTAACGTTACTTTTGATTGTCTAACTAAGATAGTGAACATGAAGGATGATGGCATTTATAAAGGTAATTTATTTTTAATGTTTTTCCATTAGCCTCTCATTTAAATATTTGTGAAAAAATCGGTTTTAAAGTTCCGAAAACTTATCGGTTAGATATCCGAAAAATATGAAAAGTTAAATTCCCAGGAAATCCCCAAACAAATCCCAATATTATCCCTATGAAATAATGAAAATTATTTTTGAACCCCAAGGAGAAAACAAATTTAATGAAAAATCTGTCCCCCGCTGATAGATTTTTTCAATTTTTCATAAAATTTGTTTTTTCCTTTTTTATTTTTTCGTAGGGGTAATATTGGGATTTTTTTAGAACTGTTCTGGGAATTTAACTTAAATATTTGTTTGTTTAGTTGTTTTTAAGAATGATAAGGCATAATCTCGAATGTGATCAAATATGCTCGACAAAAAAGTAATCTTATAAACAAACTAGTTTCGTCTCATAGAAACTATTTAGACCTGTAATACAAAGTAGCTTACTTTTATATAAATAAAAATTCCCTTGGTTTATTCGGTTGTTTGTATTTTCTATTGTTTAGCACAGCAGTGCTATGCTGTGCTATGCTGTGCTATGCTGTGCTATGCTGTGCTATGCTGAATTGAACCAATATATAGTTTTAAGAGTAAAATAAAACACAGTTAACAGATTTTTTATTGTTGTAATAATAAAGGGAGATTTGGGAATGTACACAGAAAGAAATAGATTAATGCAGCGGTTTTGCCAGACTAAGTATCATAATACTTATAGGAATATTGATAGAGAGTAAGCAATATCTTACTACTATAGTAAATCAATTAATTAATCCCTATATTTTTTATTTCATTACCGCGGTAGCATACTCGAAAACAAAAATTCTTATAGCGCCGACTGAATGACTTATAACCAGCAGATTCAGTTTTATACAATCTGATATCTATTATCACTCTAAAACGCATTATAATTTTAGTGATCCCGTTTTATATTCCATAACACCCTTTCTGTTGTCATTACCAGAAACATACAGATTTTTGGTGGTGGGGATCCGCTACGCCACTAACCTGTTAATTGTTGTCGTCAATTTGCAGTCTTTTGTCTTAGCGTCGTGTGTGCACGTGTGTTACTTTTAGTTAAGTATATGAGCCAGTGTTTTTCTTGTGATCTTGTGTAACATGGAAGCTTATTTAGAGACTATTATTGAGGCAGCGGTTCTTTACACTGTCGTCGCCACTTTCTGAGCTAAAACAGAAAGTTTTTATGTTATTTAATTTTCTTCTACGCACATGAAAATGTACAGTGTGTGTGTCTTTTAAATAGTGAAATAAAAACTTTTTATTTTATCTCATTAGAAAGTGGTGACATCATTCTAAGAAATTACTACTTCAAGAATTTTTTTTATTTGCTTTCCAATGATAATATGGTATTTTTAATTACATGCATAAGAAAAAGTCATAATTTAATATTATTGGTTGCTGCCAATGTTAAACGTTTGTATATTAGGTCATAATTTTTTGACAATAAAATTAGAACATGAAAAGTCCATAGAATTCTCATTCATCAATATGTACTTATTTAAATTTAATATACAGTATGTCCCTCTAGGTTGGAATCTTATTAATTATTTTAGGAAAAAAAGTTATTCTTCATAAAAAGTTCTGCATTATCTAAAACCTAGAATACAGTGGTATACGAGGTATATGAGTTTCAGTCAAAAGTAAGTACCTTTATTCTTTATACGACTGATAAAATTTGATATCTGATGGTTGTATTTTAGGTTTTAGACCATGCTCGACTTTTTATAAAGAATAACTTTTTCCCAATATTATTTTTTAGGAAAAAAAGTTATTTTTGCATTTTTATGTTTTATAAAAATATAATTATTGTAAAATAAATGTGTTTAGGTAAAATTTTGTTTTTTTTTTAATAAACCATATAAAAGGAAATCGAAAACAAATTTATTGCTCTGCTAGCCAAAATAAGTAAAAAGTGGCAATTTTAAATATTTTAGTTTATTGTCTAGCGGGGCACAACAATGAACAAATTTTAATAATTTTTTAATTATAAGAAGATGGTGGGTTATTATACATTTATATTTCAAAATTTAAGGGCTGCTATAAAAAAAATTGTATTACCTGTCAAATGTACAATTTCTTTATTTCAATCAGTAATTTTTTGATGATAAATCTATGGCAAATTAATGTTCATCCCACAATCTTCTAATAACCAAAAATTTATTAAAATTCGTTTATTGCTGTGCCCGCTATACAATAAACCAAATGCTTAAAATTATCAACTTTTACGTATTTTGGTTAGCTTTTAAATATAGTATAATCACATATCCACTATAAAACTAGTTCATAATAACTATGAGAACATTTTATAAACAGTGGTATTCTATGATATTATGACAATATAAGTGAATGATAATCCGTATGAGAATAGCTTATAAACTTTATAAGCTAGTTTTATTATCAGTACATCCGAAATTAGCCTCAGGTAAGAAATTATAATACCTGCTATAGGAATTTTTTACACCTCTCATAGAGTAGTTCATTTATTTGTGTGTGAACGATTGTATAATAACAATAAGACGATTTCACTGTCAATAAGTAATGCATTGGTAACCTTTAACAAACCGTGTTGTATTATGTCTATAGTCTGTATACTAACGGTTATGGAAGGTTCTAGCAATTCTTGTTCCATATCAGCAAGAGCTCGTTTTGCTGTCCCATATAGTATACAACAGTTAAATAAAGAGTACGAGAATTCTGGTAATGATTAGACCGCATTTCTTTCAGTGTACATGGTATTACCATATCCTTTAATTTCAGCTTTCCTCTTTTTATTTTTCTAACAGTACCATCAGTAAAAATAGTCTCATAATATTTGATAATATTGTTACACGGTTTTTGATATCACAATTTATTTTAACTCAACTTTAACAACAATTATACAACTGATAACATTAACATGTAACGTCTACCATCCAGCTCAAAACTGACGTCAGGATCATCCTTATATGGTATTGAACTGTCATCTTGAATATTCTTGACGGGTAATGACATTTCCATACAATTTAAACGTCAAACAACAAAACTTGAATTGTATTTCTCTAGTCTTGACGTGAATTATTTATTAGGTTTTATTCTTATGGGTGGGATTCTTCCGTAGTGTTCTCATTTATAATTTGAATGAGCTGGTATCGGGGAGGGACAACCGTATTATTATTATTATTTGCCATGGCGCTCCAATGGAACTTACACATGGTGTCATCTAACTTATAGATGAGGATATCCAGAAAAAACCCAAGCATCATCATAAAAAAATAAATTATTAATCTTATGGCTAAACAGGCTAAACCAAATACAATACAATACAATACAATACAATACAATACAATACAATACAATTTAATTGTTGTCGGAGAGGGACGACCATTATTATTTTCCATGGCACTCCGAGGCCACTTACAGATGTCATTCAAATTATAAATGAGAACACTACGGAAGAACCCCACCCATAAGAATAAAACCTAATAAATAATTCACGTCAAGACTAAAGAAATACAATTCAAGTTTTGTTGTTTGACATTTAAAAGTCAGAATAGTTTGAATGCTTCATTATTTTGTCGAATTTCCGAAGATTTCCGACACATAATTCGATCGAATTATGTGTCGAGTTACTCGACACAGAACAGAATGTCACGACTTTTAACGTCAAACAATAAAAATTAAATTGTAATTATTTATTAGTTTTTATGCTTATGTGTGGGGTTTTTCCGGGGTATCCTCATCTATAATTCAAATGACATCTGTAAGTTGCCTCGGAGAGCCATGGAAAATAATAATAGTCATCCCTCACCGGGTACAAACAACTCTGCATTCAGAGTTGCAAGGATCACTCATAATGGGTTAAATTATAAAAATAATATTATTTATTATTATTAGACTAAAGAAAGGATGACTTACAAAAAAGAAACGATCCTTTTGAACTTCCAGAAAATCGTCGTGGAGAACTTTTTCAGCTGAATAAAGAGAACCTATAAATGTTTATATTTTGTATCGTTTTGTATAATAACTAATCCTTTTGATATTCCAAGGATATAAAAGACCTCTGTTGCACGATAGGTTATCCAGAAAAGGCATTGCCAGAGACATAGGTATGCCCTGAAAACTAAATTCCTTTCTTCTCTAAAATTTTAAGCCACAGGCTTATTATTTAACCTCATTGGCAGGTCATACCTAATGTCAGAATAATCCAACTTTAACGATTTGATATCGAATCGACTACTCGTTAAACGGAATTGCTTTTATGGAGTTTGATATCAAATTCGAGTCGAATCATGAAACGGAATCCCACCCCAGAGTTGCAAGGATTACTCATAATGGGTTAAATTATAAAAATATTATTATTTATTATTATTAGACTAAAGAAAGGATGAGTTACAAAAAAATAAACGATCCTTTTGAACTTCCAGAAAATCGTCGTTGAGAACTTTTTCAGCTGAATAAAGAAAACCTATAAATGTTTATATTTTGTATCGTTTTGTATAATAACTAATCCTTTTATTGATATTTCAAGGAAATAAAAGACCTCTGTTGCACGATAGGTTATCCAGAAAAGGCATTGCCAGATTGCCAGAGACATAGGTATGTCCTGGAAACTAAATTCCTTTCTTTCCTAAAATTTTAAGCCACAGGCTTATTATTTTACCTCATTGACAGGTCATACCTAATGTCAGAATAATCCAACTTTAACGATTTGATATCGAATCGACTACTCGTTAAACGGAATTGCTTTAATGGAGTTTGATATCGAGTGAAATTCGAGTCGAATCGTGAAACGGAATCCCACCCCTGGACTATTCTATCTTCTTGGACTTGTACTTTTACTTATGACGACCGCATCACACTGTAGGGCGATGAGTAACATTCCACTTCTTTTTCTATCTGTACTTTTCCTATAATAGCCGCAGGCTACTGCAGGTGCCGCGTAACATTATCATCTAAAAAGTATAGAACAGCATGATCTCTAGAAAGTGCCTTATCGGCACTAGGATTTTTATATAGTTTAAAGTTTCTTCTGAAGGCTTTTTGACATCATTCTAATTGTTCGTTTTTAGAATAATTTTTAAATTTATCAATATTCCATAAAAAAGCGAAATTATAAGAGTAAGAAGAAAGTAATTAGAATCTCTCATCCAGACAATCAACTTTGAACATTAAAGTTTCGTCGCGGATAGGTTATTCGTCACATTCATAATCAAAATGTTTTTTTATTTTTCGCGGTTTTAGATCTCTTTGTTTTTTGAATGTTGATTCCATGTCTAAGCTGGATGCTATTTCTTTAGCATCAATAAATAGATCATTAAAACCTTTATTGGAGCGATAAGCTTTTAAAAAATTATTTAAATGATTAGAAGCAACATCAAAGTTCGATTTTTAAATAATTTTACTAACAATGTTAACTTTACTTAAAATTTTTAACGTTATTTTTAAAGTTTCTATTGCTTATTTCAAACAGAACATCATAAACCTCCCCAAGTTGATACCTTAGGAGTTATTGCATCTATTCTACTAGACTATCGAGTATCTGATAAAGGTTTTAAAGTTAAATTTGTTACTTTAGATAAATTTGATTTCAGAATTGATCAGCGTTTAGTAGAAACTGAAAAAAATACAAACAGTTCTTGAACTAAAGAAAAAAACAATGATTCTCAAAGTATTCGATTTTGCGAAACTTGAAGATGTTGGTGGATTGCTTTTTAGATCAGTTTCTTGCCTGCCTGTTGCTGATACTTGTCTCAAGTACAGGTTTAGAATATTGATATTTAGCTGTATTATTGTTGTTATTAATATTTGGCAAAGTAGACTCGGATTTTGAAAAAAAAAATATGCGTAATTTTTACATTGTTTTTTAGTTCTTCCTCTCTTTTTCTTTCATTCAGCAAATTTTGGTATCCAGACAATTTCTTTTTTTTTTCTGACATCCTGTATACTGTAAAGAAATTAATACGTAAGTAAACAAATTAATAAATGATTTATGAAAAATGAAAATGTTTCGACGTCTAAAATTCAAACCCCAAAGTAGTTTCTCAATAATACTTATTTCAAAATTTATAAATAGTAATATTAGTGTTTATCAATTATTCTGTTTGAATTTATTTCAATTAACAATGATGTTTATATAATATAATATAAAATTATTTTTCAGATGCAAGTTTTTGGCTTTTAATATTTTAATAAATTTATAATAAAAAATAAATTTTAGATGAATTCACCTTAATTCAAAATTCCCGACACAAAATACAAGTCTGTAAAACTACAAAAAACTAAAGTTTTAAAAACAGATATCTTTTACCCCATGCTCATCTTCACTTCGCTAAGTTAATTATCGATTGGGCATCTGGCAACAAATGAAATCGCGACCGATGCAGCGCTTAATATATAAAGTTTCGTACATTGCAAGTTCAGACACGTTGCAAGCCAAATTTTAAGCTCAAACATGAATAAAATCAGATTTGTTTGAGTTTACACAATTCATGTTATCATGTTACGTATTCGATCGAATCAATGCTATTATTGCGTACTATCTTGGAAAATATATTATTTTTGAAAAATAAGGTTCCCTCGTGTGAAAGAGTAAAAATAAAATAATAAACAAATAAAAAACAATGTAATACTGTTTTTTTATCATAAATTTTGTTTTGACAATGTTGTTTGTTGCTTTATCTTTTTTTTTACTTTTGAGTTTTGAGGCTTTTCGGCGCCTTCGGCGCCTCGGCGCCGGCGTGCACCACACGACTTTGTCCTTATGTACAACACGGGCCTGATACAAATACAAAGCACTGAAACTATCTACGCATTACGAGAAGAAAACACCAATGTTTTAAAAATATTCGCCTTCAGGATATAATATTTGGCACCGTTTTAACAATGTGCAGTTATTCTATAGGGTAGTTTTGCGCGGAAATTTTCATCAATAATGGTTTTCATCCTATTTTAAATGAATCCATGTATTCCTGTAAAAATAAACAACATTATTAATTGTTTATATGCTCATAAGATTGATAATTCCGATCCGTTGGTACAGGACAGGACTTTAATTCTTAACAATAAGTAAAATTATATTATTTTTAGGTCCATTTATTGGCACCAGGCATATTCAATTTGTATTTCTGGCATTTGTTGGATTTTTGGCGTACTCTACAAGATTTGGATTTTCCATATCTTTGCTGGCAATGACGCAAAATTCTTCGTCAAATCCTGATATACCCGTAAGATATTTTTCTTTTACATTTTTTTTTTTCAAAATGCTAATTAAATGAGTTTTATGATTCTATAAATGAAACAAAGTTTTATTCTTAAGGAGGTCCTTTTGCCACCCCTTTCGCCACTACTGTAAAAAATATTAGATTATGACTAAAATTTATTTTTTCTCTAATAGTTGAAGTCCTTATTTATCTAATAGTGAACTTTTAACTATACCTTACCGTGCAAATTTTTGGGATTTTTTTTTTAAATGTGAGTATTTGTACAGTGTCTTACGAGAAAGTAGGACCTCAACAAATATTCTCGAATTGTACTATTATTTATTGATTAGATGGAGTAGAAAAAACTAAAAATAAGGTTTTTGAAATATTTAGGTTTTGTTTTTTACAATAAAATATATAGGTTACCGTGGAATTTATTGAGAAATTATTATTAAAAAAATTTTCAAGTAACCTATATATTTTATTGTAAAAAACAAAACCTAAATATTTCAAAAACCTTATTTTTAGTTTTTTTCTACTCCATCTAATCAATAAATAATAGTATACTTAATTATAATTCGAAAATTGTTGTTGAATTCTTACTTTCTCGTAAGACACTGAATTTCTCAAAAATTTGCACGGTAAGGTATAGTTAAAAGTTCACTATTAGATAAATAAGGACTTCAACTATTAGAAAAAAATTAATTTTAGACATAATCTAATATTTTTTATTTAACATTGGTGGCGAAAGGACCTCCTTAAAAAGGAAAAGTTAAATAAATACACCAAGACTCATTTTCCATGTTATAAATTAATAAAAAAAATATTGTATTTCAGTATTACAATTGGACAAATAAAAGCTTCATCCTTTCTACGTTTTTCTGGGGTTACGTGTTACCCCAAATAGCAGTCGGTATTTTGGGTACCAAGTTTGGTATCAAGAACTTAATTTTAGTGGCAGTTTTTATAAATTCCCTATGCATGTTTATAATTCCGACCATTGCCGTTCATTTTGGTTCCCAAGGAGTTATGGTTTGCAGGATATTGCAAGGAATTGCCCAAGGATTTATGGTACCCTCCATACATGGTGCTATTGGAAAATGGGCACTGCCTAAGGAACGATGTAGGGTTTATGCTTTTATAAGTACAGGTAAAATTAAATACAACATTTTCTCATCTTTTCTAACCTTATATACTTTACACACAAGTCTCAATTATTATCCATTTACTTCTTTGTGTAACAAAATGTGTAAGATTTTTACAGTGAAAACCTTCAATATCATTTTCACATAACGACTTTATATTTTGATTTCTAAAATTATTTGAGTTTGACTAAACAGGTTTTTTACATCTAAGGCTTTCCCAAATATCTCAATTTTTTCTGCCGAATAGCCAAATTATATCAAAATTCAGTAAATTATTATTGCATTTAAATCTCTTTTTATAGCAGTGTACAATTTGATTTTTCAACAATCCTTAATACCCTGTAACCCTTGCTTGACAATATACTCCCATACTTCAGACTTTATTATTTAAGAATTTTTGCAAAATTTTTAAATTTAAAATCTTACTCTTTGCCTTAATTTTCATTATTTTAATATTTTATCATTCTATAACTCTTATTTTAAATTTTAGGTTATCTTGTGGGTTACGGAGTAGGTGTGGTAACAGCAGGATATATTTGCGCATCATGGGCAGGCTGGCCTTTATCCTTCTATTTACTGCCGTCAACGGGCTTTCTATGGGTGATTCTGTATTATTTCTTTGGAGCTGCAAGTCCAGCTACACATAAGACTATAACAGAGGCTGAACGAAATTATCTACAGACGTCTTTGATGTCCCAGAATATTCGTGTAATTGTTTTTTATTTTTATTTAAAGATAAATGTAAAAATTCAGTATAACATAGTAAAAAAAAATGTACTTTAGTACTCCCTTTATCCTTCTAGCCCAGCTAACCTTGAATAAATGGAATTTTTACATTATTAATAATTATTTTTTTAGAACGTTACTATACCATATCGTGCAATTCTCACTTCACCAGCATTTTGGGCGCAGGCGATTATGGCTTTATGCAGTGGTTGGGGGTACAGCATAATAGTAACGGAAATGCCCATATACATGGACAAAGTTTTGAAATTTAATATACAATCGGTAAGTATACATTGGATCAGGTTGTAGAGAAAGAAAAAAATACAAAATTTTTAAATAATGTACCTATTTGTTCCATTTTATATGTTACGATACATGTAGTTACTTTGGACATTAATGTTATTTTTGGGTTAATCACCAGAACTGTTGGTAATTCACGTCATTACATCCGGTCTAGGATACTTTTTATAGTTCAATAGTTATCGTCATTAACCAGTTAATGTTGACAACTTGGATTAAACTCCATATGATCGAATTTTAGGTTATGCGAAGTGACATTACAGTACAGAACATTACAAATTTAATATTTGTGTTTTATATTAAATATATGTTCGTATTAAACAGTTAAAATAGATCTTATTTCAGAGAGGCTTCAGAAAATAATCATTTAGGTTCTCAGGGTTACAAAAGATGACGCTGCTTAACCAAATGTGGAAATAAAAAAATGTGGTTTTTTATGTAATTTAGGGTTATAATGATTTATCTTGTACAAACTAATAAGAAAGATTTTAACTTTTTTCAGATATATAATTAAAACATTTTAAACAATATAACGAACATGGTTTTAAATAGTCGCAATAACATGTTAAATAAAAATATTTGAAAAATTTAGTAAGGTAGAAGACAACTAATTGTATCAGTATGAATCAATGCATTTTATATATACACCGGTGCTGTATAGAGGCATTTGAAGATTTGAGAACGAGCTTGGAATCTTGATAGTCAATCTCCTGATGATCTGGAGAAGGAATTCCCAAAATGGTTGATAGCGACTCCTTGGGGTCCAAATCAGTTTGCCAGGGGTCGACATAAACGAAAAATCGAGATCTATTAACACAAGTTCTTATTTGAAACTTTCAAGATACTGTATAAGTTGTGTTACCTGTACCAACTTGTTACTTGTACTGACTTTTCGGATTTCGATTTTCGATTTCTCGATAATACAATTTACAATCTTCATTTATATTTTTTCTTTTGTATTTTTTTATAGGAAAATATTTGGTTATTTTTTTCATTAAATATTTACATATTTAATATGCTATACCTATAACGACTTTTATCAGATTTTTACATTAATTTATCAGTCAATGTCGTTTTTAAATATTAAAATTTACGATATTTCTATGGCGATTAACTTGAATAACTGGTCAATCACGTTAATGGCCATACAAAACGGTTAATAACGTCATTATTCGGACAATCTCGTTATTAACCAATTTACCGTAAAATATTCATATATTGGACACGTTCAATTATTGAAAATATTTTCTTTTATAAACAATCATAAGAGAAATACACATGGCAGTAGAAAAAAAGTATTATTAAAAGTACTTACGCCCAAATTTTGATATGCAACCCAGCAAACCCGTATTTCTCTATGAATAATTATCCATAAAAGACTATAAGCATATTTTATTTATTTGAACATGGACCATTGAGATGACACCTTAAAACCAAGACATTTTTGTCTGTACAGCATTAAACTTTACTAGGTCTTCTCTGACTTCTTTAAACTCTTGTCCCCCTTCTTTAAACCCTTAGAAATAGCTTTTCTTAACAACGTAATACTGGCATTTTCTAGATTTAAGTTTGACGTACCAATTAAATTAAGTTGGTTCCTAGAAAACCGTCGATTCAACGCCCATTTCCAGTATACCCCATTTCGTACATCAAGAATAGTTTTTAGCACAGCTTTAGGGTCAAGCGGACCTCTGGAAAATTTTGAAAATGTTATAGAAACATGCTACCCCACCTGAAAATATTTCCATTTTTTTTTGTGATTTGAACCTTTTGGTCAGCTACACGTTTTTGATCTATTTTGCACTGTGTTTTTAATATTTTTTAATTAAAGCCAAGATTACACTTTAATTCCCTTTACTTACTGCGAAATTTTATGTTGTATATGTAGTTTGTTCTTTACATTTCATTTTTTTTTTTAATTTTCTTCATTTCCATCTATATAGTTATTATCAGCCAAAATTAAATATTTCAGGTCAAAAATCGGTGGTTTTACAAAACGACTGAAACTGCTTACCCGCCGGAATGTCATTTTATAAAACGCCTAGGCATTTTATAATCTGGCTAGCCAGATAGTAAAATAATAACGGAAATTTGACAATTTGGCCGCTATTTATAAAACGCCTTGGCAATTTATAAAACGACGCTTTTGTCATATGGCTACGACATAAACATGATGTTTTACAACTGTTTTTTTTATATTAGGTACCTGAAAATGGCCTAAAGCCAAAACCGGTCGTTTAATATCATTTAATATTTTTATGACACCGATTTTGAGTTTTAAAACTCATTTAATGAATTATTTATTTTAAAAGAATGTTATATTTTTATTTACCCTAATAATTAAACTGGTTAATTTTAACTTTATCTTAGTTTGTATTTTGTTTTATTTATAGCATCTATTTTACTCAAGTAAATGTAATTCTTGTATAAACTTAAAAATATTTATTTCGTAGATACGGTCTCTTGTCTTAGCATATAGAACAAATTTGACAATACATATTAGCGATAATTAACCATATTTGATTATTAAACGTTATTTCTTTTTAGAATGGTTTAGTATCTGCCCTTTCATCTATTAACCTTCTGTTGACCGTTAACGGTTCTGCAATTGTCGCAGATTATTTGGTGGAGCACAATTATTTGACTATAGGCCATACGCGAAAGCTAATGTCTAGTTTAGGTAAGTCATAGATTATTACTTACTGTAAAAAAACAGTTCGCTGTTATGCAAGTAACGTTCCTATTTTCAGGGGCATTTGGATGTGCAGTTTTAATGATGATTTTCATTTACTTACCCGATCACAGTAATACTCTGTTTGTGGTGACATTGGTGGCAATAAATGGAGTGCGCTCCTTCAGCACAGGAGGATTTAGCATAAACCATCTAGATTATGCGCCAAATTTTGCCGCAGCTGTCATGGGAATAATAAATACATGCGCTGAACTCTTTTCCTTCATCACACCAATGGCTACCCAGTATATTGTTTACGATGAGGTAAGTTAAACACAAATTTACAGAATAAAAATTTAACTTATAGATATCACAATTGGTAAAAAATGACGACCTTTACTTAGAAAAATTTAAACATGACAATATTAACAATTTAAATAATAATTATATATCAAATTAACATTACATAAAAAGTTTAACAAATAATTTTAAAAAACCGACTTCAAAATCATGCAGGTCATGACCAGATCTTGACAAAATTTATATGGGATCACCCCTGAGTTACTTCCTTACTAACAAAAAAAGAATCATAGAAATCAGACAAGTTAATAAAGAATTATAGCTGAACATTTATCAAAAATGAAGAGTTTGAGGATTTTCTTATGCACTAAAACAAATTTAGCACATATCCAGACTAAAAAGGGACTTGAGCACCCACTTGCTCTGTATAGCGATCTTGAAGAACTAAATGAAGCAACACTTAAGGGATATAGTTCTAAATATCACGAAGTAACGAAACTCGATTTTCACAACTTTACAAGAGAGCGTTTTAAAAGTTTTTTTTTTCCTGAAGTAACGTCTCTTCGTAAAATTATCAGATACACCGGTTTTTGACAAGTTGAGAAGCGAGTCCTATATGGCTCTGGAGGATACACAATGGGCATAATGAAAACCACCACCCTTCCCCACCTTACAGATACAGGGAATAAACTTATTTGATGGTTTCATCAATTTGAAACACTAATTTCTTTTCTATTACTGTAATAGTTGATTTTTATTTGAATATGATTTCCTTATCACGGTTTTTTATAAAACAATGAACAAATTTAATTATCGAACTAAAACCATATTAAACTCTATACTAAACACGACATGTAAACAAACATAACAATCTAAAAAAAAGTTAATTAACACAAAAATAACAGTACTCGCATAATCCTTATTCGTTTACTTCAATGATTCAATGATGCAATGATGCAATGATTCAATGATTCAATGATTCAATGATTCAATGATTCAATGATTCAATGATTCAATGATTCAATGATTCAATGATTCAATGATTCAATGATTCAATGATTCAATGATTCAATGATTCAATGATTCAATGATTCAATGATTCAATGATTCAATGATTCAATGATTCCATGATTCAATGATTCAATGATTCAATGATTCAATGATTCAATGATTCAATGATTCAATGATTCAATGATTCAATGATTCAATGATTCAATGATTCAATGATTCAATGATTCAATGATTCAATGATTCAATGATTCAATGATTCAATGATTCAATGATTCAATGATTCAATGATTCAATGATTCAATGATTCAATGATTCAATGATTCAATGATTCAATGATTCAATGATTCAATGATTCAATGATTCAATGATTCAATGATTCAATGATTCAATGATTCAATGATTCAATGATTCAATGATTCAATGATTCAATGATTCAATGATTCAATGATTCAATGATTCAATGATTCAATGATTCAATGATTCAATGAATCAACGATTCAATGATTCAATGATTTAATGATTCAATGATTCAATGATTTAATGATTCAATGATTCAATGATTCAATGATTCAATGATTCAATGATTCAATGATTCAATGATTCAATGATTCAATGATTCAATGATTCAATGATTCAATGATTCAATGATTCAATGATTCAATGATTCAATGATTCAATGATTCAATGATTCAATGATTCAATGATTCAACGATTCAAAGATTTAACGATTCAAAGATTTAACGATTTCAACGATTCCAACGATTCCAACGATTCCAACGATTCCAACGATTCCAACGATTCCAACAATTCCAACGATTCCAACGATTCCAACGATTCCAACGATTCCAACGATTCCAACGATTCCAACGATTCCAACGATTTCAACGATTCCAACGATTCCAACGATTCCAACGATTCCAACGATTCCAACGATTCCAACGATTCCAACGATTCCAACGATTCCAACGATTCCAACGATTCCAACGATTCCAACGATTCCAACGATTCCAACGATTCCAACGATTCCAACGATTCCAACGATTCCAACGATTCCAACGATTCCAACGATTCCAACGATTCCAACGATTCCAACGATTCCAACGATTCCAACGATTCCAACGATTCCAACGATTCCAACGATTCCAACGATTCCACGATTCAACGATTCAACGATTCAACGATTCAACGATTCAACGATTCAACGATTCAACGATTCAACGATTCAACGATTCAACGATTCAACGATTTAACGATTCAACGATTCAACGATTCAACGATTCAACGATTCAACGATTCAACGATTCAACGAATCAACGAATCAACGATTCAACGATTCAACGATTCAACGATTCAACGATTCAACGATTCAACGATTCAACGATTCAACGATTCAACGATTCAACGATTCAACGATTTAACGATTCAACGATTCAACGATTCAACGATTCAACGATTCAACGATTCAACGATTCAACGATTCAACGATTCAACGATTCAACGATTCAACGATTCAACGATTTAACGATTCAACGATTCAACGATTCAACGATTCAACGATTCAACGATTCAACGATTCAACGATTCAACGATTCAACGATTCAACGATTCAACGATTCAACGATTCAACGATTCAACGATTCAACGATTCAACGATTTAACGATTTAACGATTTAACGATTTAACGATTTTACGATTTTACGATTTTACGATTTAACGATTTAACGATTTAACGATTTAACGATTTAACGATTTAACGATTTAACGATTTAACGATTTAACGATTTAACGATTTAACGATTTAACGATTTAACGATTTAACGATTTAACGATTTAACGATTTAACGATTTAACGATTTAACGATTTAACGATTTAACGATTTAACGATTTAACGATTTAACGATTTAACGATTTAACGATTTAACGATTTAACGATTTACCGATTTAACGATTTAACGATTTAACGATTTAACGATTTAACGATTTAACGATTTAACGATTTAACGATTTAACGATTTAACGATTTAACGATTTAACGATTTAACGATTTAACGATTTAACGATTTAACGATTTAACGATTTAACGATTTAACGATTTAACGATTTAACGATTTAACGATTTAACGATTTAACGATTTAACGATTTAACGATTTAACGATTTAACGATTTAACGATTTAACGATTTAACGATTTAACGATTTAACGATTTAACGATTTAACGATTTAACGATTTAACGATTTAACGATTTAACGATTTAACGATTTAACGATTTAACGATTTAACGATTTAACGATTTAACGATTTAACGATTTAACGATTTAACGATTTAACGATTTAACGATTTAACGATTTAACGATTTAACGATTTAACGATTTAACGATTTAACGATTTAACGATTTAACGATTTAACGATTTAACGATTTAACGATTTAACGATTTAACGATTTAACGATTTAACGATTTAACGATTTAACGATTTAACGATTTAACGATTTAACGATTTAACGATTTAACGATTTAACGATTTAACGATTTAACGATTTAACGATTTAACGATTTAACGATTTAACGATTTAACGATTTAACGATTTAACGATTTAACGATTTAACGATTTAACGATTTAACGATTTAACGATTTAACGATTTAACGATTTAACGATTTAACGATTTAACGATTTAACGATTTAACGATTTAACGATTTAACGATTTAACGATTTAACGATTTAACGATTTAACGATTTAACGATTTAGCGATTTAACGATTTAACGATTTAACGATTTAACGATTTAACAATTTAACGATTTAACGATTTAACGATTTAACGATTTAACGATTTAACGATTTAACGATTTAACGATTTAACGATTTAACGATTTAACGATTCAACGATTCAACGATTCAAAGATTCAACGATTCAACGATTCAATGATTCAAAGTTAAAATATTATCTAGTAGCTATTTCCTGTGTAAATGAGACTTTTCAATTCCCTCCCAGTTTAAAACTGAAGTTTAGTTATTTCTGAATAGAACTGATTTATTTGTTTTTGATTGATAATAATAGAAAGAATAAAACATGCATAATATTTTTCATTTTTAGAGTTGCCGACTAAAATGTGTCAAATCAAAAATAAAGAAATATCAAATGTCAAATAACCAATCAGAACCTAGCGTTTAGGCGCGAAAAATTCAAACCGCTCCATCTAGTTTCAAAATAAAATATAAGGAAATATAAATAATAGTGAATAATGGTTATTCACAGCATATATGGCCAAATGTTTAATCGACAATTTTGCCCCGGACAAATGTTCCCTAAAAAAGCACATTGATAAACTCGCCCCGATAAATGCGCTCTCCCAGTATGTTAATATGGCACCTCTCACTGGTCAACTAGTAATATTAAATGCTTTCGTACATCTTCACGATTTCAAACAATATAATAATATATTTAACATAAACAATGTATTATTAGACTTAGTTTTTTGTATGAATCATGCACTGTTAAAAGGGTATATGATTTGATGGTTCCTGAAGATGTTTCGCATCCTGCTTTGAATAATAATTTTCAAATATCTAATCCTCGTAGTAAACCTAATCCATTGAATAGAAATTTTCGTAAAGCTAATTATATGATGTTATATCAACTATAGCTTCATGTGACTGGTCTCTTCTCAATAATGTAGATAATATTGAAACTGCAACTAAGTTATTTTATGAACAACTATATGGTATGATGGATATATGTATTCCCAAATATGTTCCATTTGCAAAAAAATACCCTACATGGTTTAACGGACCTATTATTAGAGATATTAAAAAAAAGAGAAAGCACGAAAAAAGTTTAGACGCAATAATGATTTAAATGCAATAATGATTTAAATGCCTTCGAAGAATTTAAACGGCTAAGATCCAAAATTAAAAAGGACGTACAGAAAGCACATAAAGACAACGTTAGAACATTACAAGAGAATATAAAAATAAATAGTGGGAACTTTTGGTCATACGTAAATTCTAAACGGAAAGATGGTGAAATAACTGAATTTATGACTTATGATGATTTAAATCTTTCAAACATGCAGGATATTGTAACTGGATTTGCTACTTACTTTAAAAATTCCTACAGTAATTCATCAACTTTTGATGTTGACTTTGAGAGTGATTCATCAAATAATTTACATGTGCATAGAGCTGAATTTAAAGAATTTGATGTGTCCAAGGCAATATTAAAGTTAAAATCTAAATTTACTAAGGGACCAGATAATATACCATCCTTTATGGTTAGCGATTGTTCCCATGCGTTAGCTATTCCTTTAAATAAAATATTTAATATATCACTACTTACTGGTACATCAAGAATATGTCCTGTTTTTAAAAGTGGTAAAAAAATTGTATTGGGAACTATTTTATGTAATTTTTCCAATGTTTATGAAATTTTACTAAAACATCAGATAGTGGAAGAACAACATGGTTTTTGTAAGAACAGTTCAACAATAACAAATCTAATTAAATATTGCTTTTAAATCAAAACTGTCGGAACTGTGCGTTTAGGCCTACAGCCATATCGAAGCGTGAAGGAACCCCATTAAGGGTGGCATCTTGCCATAGCTCTAAAACTGTTTATCTGGACAATTTTGCAATTTTTTTTACAAAATCTTTGAAAGAAAATACTTAAAAATTATTTTACCTTTGAAACTTTTCGCTACGCCACGTGATATACCACATAATTGTGTTTTCATAAAAAAATCTATATAATTTTAAACCAAGCTTTCAAAAAAACTAAACAATATTTTGAAGTGTGATGTGTTTCATTCTTTTTCTGTGTTGATTTTACAGGTTGTAACGAAAAGACATCGTGTAAATATGTTTAGTTTTAAAGAATATTCCTAGGTAAGTCAACGCCATTATATGTGGTTTAGATACCAGTACTTTAGAACAACTCTGTTTCTTAAGAAGTTTTTACAACCCCTAGTCACACTTCATGAAGAGTTTTCAATATTAAAATTAATGCCAAGAAGTATATTTTTCTCGAAAGCTTCGTTTAAAATTTAACCGCGCATATACGGCATATTTCTATGGGCGAACGTCAACCTTAATGGGTGAAATTTATCTGGAAATGTTATAAAACGCAATTAAACCATTAATTCTTGAAATTCTGGAAGAAAATTCAGATGAATTTGGCAACTTGGAAATAAAGTTTGAAACAGATAGTGTTCTTTCACACTATTATGTTGCCGTAATACGTTATCTAGATAAATAATACCGTGGTTAAAGAATGTAGGACAATATTCGCTAACACATTTAAACGAGTCTGTCAACAATTTAGCATATCTTGAACAGGTACTATTATGCATTTCAATGACCTGTTAAACAATAACTTGCAGTAGGAAGGTTTGGTATATCTAAGAGGGTAGCGACATAGTCTTGCATTTTGGATGCTTTTTCATTCGAAATAGTACTCTCCAAACCAGCCAATTTATGAAAAAATGTATAGGCCATTTTTTAAATAATATTTTTATTGTGTTTGACATAAAATATTTAAATGTAATTTATTCATGATTTTACGTATTGTAGACAGAATACATCGTATGTCGCAATCCATATACCATCAATGAGATTCTCATCTTTCAATTCGGCACGTGTTAAAAAGCTTCTGTCTTCGTTCGACAAAATGTAATTCTTATGTAATGTCTCTCTCTATTCAACACGTAACATGTTGAGTTCGCACAAAAGAATCCCTGTCCATATCTTCCCACTGTTTGGAATGCCTAATAAAAACTGGTTGTTAAATCTTTTAAATGAGATCTTATAATTTAAATGATTTTTTCAAAAATTACCCTAAATCCAAACAAAATAAGTATGACTGAATATGTATTTTAAATACTTTTTAAACGAAGTGATCTTAGCCATAAAGTACCATTTAAAGTTATTGGTTATAGTGACCCTGTGACATCTATGACTATTGTGTCACCTGTTGCCACTATATACCGTGAATATAATAATTATTGAACTTTTGATATAAAAAAATATTCCATACATTTTTTTACTTTTAAAGATGGACGGTATTATTCTATTGAGATATTAAAAAAAATATTGAAATATTTCCAAATACTTATTGACATGGTTTTTGTGAATGCATAGTAAACAGTCGTATTTAAAAAAAGTTACTGTTTTAATTAGTTTTCTATTTCTAGTAGAAATCACATGACCGCATTCCCAAGACTTATTTGTTTGGCACGGAGAAGAATATAATAGGATTTCATATGTTTCTTATTTATTTTAGAGTGACAGAAGCCTGTGGAGAATAGTCTTCATCACAGCTGCATGTCTGTACGTGGTTTCTATTTGTTTTTACCTGGTTTTCGCATCAGGAGAAGTGCAGCCTTGGAATCACACTCCAGTGGAACCTCTAGTTGAAAATTCGAACATAAAAGAAGAATATGAATCTGAAATAAAATTACTTGTTTAATTAAATTAATTATTATTTGTTTTAAAATAATAAATAAATAAAATGCTAAAGTCTACGATATAAATATTACTTCCTATTTTAGTCACGAATACAATACCCCATAGGTATGGGCCTCAGAATTATCTTTTGTTATAATATACAAAGGAAATTAGAATTGCTCAATCAAGTACTTGTTTATTTATTACTATCAAAAAAATATTTAATTAAATTATCTGATATCATATCATCTTTCGTGCCGCGTAAAAAATAGACATAGAACTGTATAAATTTTACACAGTGTTCCAAAATTAATTTATGAATAACTCATATAGATAACTTTCTAGAAACAGCTAACTCTCAAGAAAAACAGTTGACATAAACTAATACATCTTTTAATAAATATATAGAAACAATTTTTCAACTCATTCAACACAAGGCTATTTTGTGAATACTAAATATTGATTAGATTAAGTTTATTAATTTTATAGATTTAAATAATATTCTCTTTATACTTCTTAATTTTACGATGTAAATTATTTATATGAAATAATGATGGTATTGAAATTAATTTAATACCTCTGTATAAAATTAGTACACTTAAGATTAAGATTAATCGAACCTAATTAATTATAAATCTCTCACTTTTTTATTAATTATTTTAATAAGGTGGTGAACATGATGGATAACATTTCTAAAGGTAATTTTTTTTCAATTTTTTTAAATAGCTTCTCTCTAGCACATTGTTTATGATAGTTATTTTTGTAAAAGTATGGGTCTATTTATACTCCTTTATTACTAACATTTGTATTAGTATTATGATTAAGCATTAAACTGGACAAAATATTCTAAAAAGTTATTTATACTCGTTTTATATTTAGTATTAGTGCTTCTTTTTTAATAATCTTTTTCCTAATAAGATAGAATTCTGCAGTCAACTAAATGTTGGTTACTAAAGATATGTGTAAGAGACCAGTTTTGTTCTTAAAATACTTTTTTTAAATATTTGAGTTTTAAACATGTTTTTATTAATATTTTTACTAGTTAATTTTATTTGAAAGTATTATTATTCAAAAATAGGTTAAATTAAGGACATTTTAACGGATTTACGTCCCAAATTTATAACAGATTAAAAAAAACAGAAAATTTAGACAAACCAGATAGAAAAGAGGCCTTTGCCTTCTCGTGGTTACATGTCAGTTGTCAACTTTATACTCGGTAAACACTGCTAATACACCAACATTTTATATAGCACATGATTTGTACCGAAATATTATCGTTTTCGAGCTTGTTGTAACAAACCTTTAAACAAGATCTAACAACATAATCACATGTGTATTGTCATTTGTCATTACCCGTTATCTATTAAAAACAAAGGCCAAATACGTCATTGATTCATTTGATAGAAAAGAAGAAATTTAAGATTTCACATAAAAATTAAACCGATCAATTATTAAGCATAAATATTATTGCTAATACTAATCATAAATCGAGTATAAATGTCCTCATTACATTGTGAAGGTTTAACTTAATCCATAATCATAATACTAATGCAAATACTAATCATAAGGGAGTATAAATAGGCCCTAGTTAAAATTCCACATTTAGTATTTTATATACCCCCAATGAAAAGTAGCCCATTTCCAGAGCTTATAACTTTTAAACAAATCCTAGAAACGTGCGGTTTTTGCTGATATGAGTTATTTTGCTATAAGTTTTGCTTCAGTGACATAGAAATTATGTATTACCTATACAGGGTGTTTTTTTAAAATCTTCTCTTTTAAATTCACCGTAACCAAATTTTATCAAATGTGGTTAAATTCTACAATTTCACCAGTAAAAACATCAACAAATTAATATCTACTAAATAAATAAACAATTCTTAAATAGTTCGACTGCTTTTTACCCTAATATAATGTGAAGTCATAAAACTATAAATAGCATTTTTCTCAGAATACCGAACGTCGAACACCTGTGTTTTCAGGTGCACAGCGGTGCATTGGAACAAAATGAGTGTCCGGCGCATAGTTAACGAAGCACAAATGACGTATTTCATTATGTCATGATGTTTTCATTGGTTGAAACCGAATAGGTGCGTCAACTATGCCCCGGACACTCATTTCGGTCCAACAGTATATATTAGGGTGAGCTCGACGCGAACGGAGTAGTTGTCTTATTGCCACCAACGAGTTCAGTTATCTTTTTGCCATCATCGCGTTCAGGTGCTTTCTGCCGACGGCACGTTACTTTCTACATTTTTACAAGCGTTTAATGCAGTTTATTTTCTGGTGCAAGTTATATCTTCTACAATTATTATGGCATAAGAAATTCTACAAACAAATGTTTTCAAGTTGGTAACTAAAAAATCAACTGTATTAGTTAATCAAATTGTGATGAACTAAAATTGTAAATATTTAAAACTGTTTAGTGAAGATAAGTGAATCAACCACTATGTATTTACTTCAGTGAAAATAGTAAATCAAAAACACTTCTTTTTCTACTACCTATGACTCGTTAGTTATTTCTACAAAAGAACCCAATTCTTCTAACACCACCGACATATGCTACAGAACATTTTTACCAAAGAAATATTCGGAAGTAACACCGGTATTTTTTCAAAATGGAAACGGGCTACTTTTCATTGGGACACCCTGTATTACACGAACAAAATTATTATATAATATATAATATAAAATAAGCATTTTTGTAAATTATTTATCGTAAATAAATATAATTTGACAACTCTGTAATGTTGTTTTAGCAGTTTATTTTACAAGGACGAAAAGTTGAGTTTTTTGGGTCGGACGTTATCAGATCCCGAAAAATACTTTTCTTTCGTGTTCCGAATATACCAAGATAATAAAAATATACCTTGAAAATTAATTCCGAAATGATATTATTGCCAATTTTTATTAAAAGAGATTTGCAAAATTTTAATGATATGGAAATCATCAAAATTGTTGACAAAATTAAATGATTCTTGGGTGGTTAAGTTTCTGGATATCAAAATTAAAAACGAAAATCAGAATGTCAAGGGGTTGTTGTTTGGAAATTTGTTAAAAATTTTATAAAAAATCTAGCTTTTGCCCGCGGCTTTACCTTCGTGTAGTGCTGTTTCTATTATAAAAAAATCTGATAAATGTCAAACACATGACTTTCCTGTCTAGTTATTATAGGTATGCATGTGCTAGTATTATAGAGTAAAGTAGAGTAATCTAATATTTGGGTATGGTAATCTAAATAAAAATTTCTTTGTATACCACATTTTAAGTATGGCTATACGATCTAGCTTTTCTTCTAATTACTGACTCCCGACTTCGTGGACATTCGCTAAAACTACAGAAAGAAAACTTCAAAACAAGAACGAGACAACATTTTCTGAGTTACAGAATCTTCGAAGTCTGGAACAACCTGTCCCTAGAAATTATAGATTCCCAAAGTGTCGATATTTACAAAAACAATATAGACAAGCATATCTTTTACAATTCATAATTTATTATATATTTTTGGATTTACTTTCTAACTTACATTTGCATGTAGCTTATTTTTGGATTTAATTTTGGAACTATACTTGTATTTAGTCATTAGATTTATTATAAAATCATTTTTTGATTTAATACTTTTTAGGATAATTAATTTGATCTTTTTTACTGGGCACAATAGGACACCGCCCTCTGCCCTTATTGTAATAATAATAATAATAATAATAATAATAATAATAATAATAATAATAATAATAATAATAATAATAATAATAATAATAATAATAATAATAATAATAATAATAATAATAATAATAATAATAATAATAATAATAATAATAATAATAATAATAATAATAATAATAATAATAATAATAATAATAATAATAATAATAATAATAATAATAATAATAATAATAATAATAATAATAATAATAATAATAATAATAATAATAATAATAATAATAATAATAATAATAATAATAATAATAATAATAATAATAATAATAATAATAATAATAATAATAATAATAATAATAATAATAATAATAATAATAATAATAATAATAATAATAATAATAATAATAATAATAATAATAATAATAATAATAATAATAATAATAATAATAATAATAATAATAATAATAATAATAATAATAATAATAATAATAATAATAATAATAATAATAATAATAATAATAATAATAATAATAATAATAATAATAATAATAATAATAATAATAATAATAATAATAATAATAATAATAATAATAATAATAATAATAATAATAATAATAATAATAATAATAATAATAATAATAATAATAATAATAATAATAATAATAATAATAATAATAATAATAATAATAATAATAATAATAATAATAATAATAATAATAATAATAATAATAATAATAATAATAATAATAATAATAATAATAATAATAATAATAATAATAATAATAATAATAATAATAATAATAATAATAATAATAATAATAATAATAATAATAATAATAATAATAATAATAATAATAATAATAATAATAATAATAATAATAATAATAATAATAATAATAATAATAATAATAATAATAATAATAATAATAATAATAATAATAATAATAATAATAATAATAATAATAATAATAATAATAATAATAATAATAATAATAATAATAATAATAATAATAATAATAATAATAATAATAATAATAATAATAATAATAATAATAATAATAATAATAATAATAATAATAATAATAATAATAATAATAATAATAATTAGACTAATGGCCGTAGTAGTCGACGCCGATGACACCAAATTAAAAAATAATAATAATAATAATAATTGCGGAACTGACTCTCTAACAGGCTACAGAAAACTATTCGTGTGTACAACAGTCCTCCCTTAGGCTGTCGAAGTGTCGGTACATCCAGATATGTCATATTTATCAATTCACCCCTATTTTTACCAGACGTTTCAGTTAATTCTTTAAATTATTTTTTATTTATTTTTATTTATTTTTATTTAGTTTTATTTATTTTTATTTATTTTTAT